AGTTTGCCACTTAGCTTGTCTCTACTGAATCCATGATGCTTGGTTTCCAGGAGAAATGCAGAGTTTGGCTCTCAGGCTTGTTTCCTACAAGTCCTTTCTCAGTTGGCCAACATGATCAGAACCAATAGGTCAGGGATGGACCCGTTTTGGAAAAAATACTTGCGCTTATGGAAAGACGTTTGTCTGATGTCGATTGCCTGTGAAATTTCACAACTGCTGTTTAGTTTCTGATGCATAATTATTCCCTGACTTCACCAACAGTTTTTAAAAGAGCACCTGGTACACTAGGTGAAGTGTGTTATTTTCTGGAAGGCCAACGTGCGAGAATTCAAAACTGGGATGGTTTACAATGAGGGCATTTATTTATTCACAATCACAATGGTGGTTATGAATACTCAACTAGCTTTGCATTTCTTGCTCTGGCATGTTCCAATTTAATTTTGTATACACTGGCTTATGAGAACTTTGTTGATTAGAGAGGGCAGAGGGGCAGGCTGAATGCTAGAAGAGGGGGCTCAGAGTTTCTTCAAAGACAGAACTGTTGCAAAACCTTTTTCACAGGCTGCATGGCAGAACTGCATGTAACAAATGGGATTAATAGTGTTTTTCCTTCACTACTTAGCGTGTTAGCACAGTGTTGTGTGACTCATTCAAAGATTAAGTCTCTACCCTTAGAGCAGCATCTCTGATGCCTAACAGCCCTTTTTAAACTCTTGGAGCGAGTACTGAAGATCTGTATGATACATGAACTGTTAAGTCCTCTATGTATGTTGAGGGTACAATTCGAAATAGAAACTGCTTGTCAGACAAGTCTGTTCCTTGGACTGTATGGCCAAATAGCCTCAGGGCCCGGATCACTGCCACAACTTCCCTACAGCTTCTGACGAAATGTCTCAAAGACCAATTGTTCCAACCAGCAGAAAAGCTTCTGCCTGGTTTGACACAAAGAACCTGCTCCATTGAAACATTTCTTCTTCGGCCTCAGCTCTTGCTGCCGACCACAGGTAAAAAGCAGACACAAGGCAAATAACCTCAAGGCCATTCAAACAATTTCTGCCTGCTGGATGAGAGAGGCTCTATTTGCTCTGGGACAGACAGTTATGGGAAAGATCTGCAGACTTCAGTTGACTCTTGTGGCCGATACCAAGTGTTCCTCCTCTTACAACATTAGTATTAGCCTACAGTGTATGCCATAAACAAGTCACAGGTCTCTGTTCAGACAGGGAAGGACAGAGAACAAGGTGTCTTCTCCAACTCCTTTAGCATGAGAATGAGGATGAGGCAGCCCTTTCAGGAAAATACAGAGATAAATCCTTCTCAGATCTACAGAAATGGTTATGAGATTCCACTAGCTACTGCTGCCAAGGTGGTGAAAACAAAAATCTTTCCACCATTTAACTTTAACAAGGAGCATAAATAGGATATGTATTACAGAATCACAGAATGGCTGAGGTTCGAAGGGATCTCTGGAGGTCTAACCCCCCTGCTCAAGCAGGGTCACCTAGACCTGGTTGCCCAAGGACCATGTCCAGATGGCTTTTGAGTATCTCCAAGGATGGAGACTCCACAGCTTCCCTGGGCAACCTGTGCCAGTGCTCGGTCACCTTCACAGTGACAAAGTGTTTGCTGATGTTCAGAGGGAACCTCCTGTGTATTTCAGGTTGTGCCCATTGCCTCTGCTCCTGTCACTGGACACCACCGAGAAGAGCCTGGCTCTGTCCTCTTTGCACCCTCCCTTCAGGCATTTACAAACATTGATGAGATGCCCCTGAGCCTTCTCTTCTCCAGGCTGAACAGTCCCAGCCCTCTCAGCCTTTCCTCATAGGAGGGATGCTCTGTCTTCCATCCCTTCATCATCCTTGCGGCCCTTTGCTGGACACTCTCCAGTATGTCTATGTCTCTCTTGTATTGGGGAGCCCAGAACTGGACCCAGGACTCCAGGTGTGGCCTCACCAGTGCTGAATAGTACTGTCCATTATTGGCATGTAGCAGGGTGCACAGAGGAAAAGACACTTTAAAAAATACACTTAAATATGTACTTAAAAAAACAAAACAATGCTCTTAAGGTTACTCTGTAGAACACCATTCCTTCACTTATACTTTTCAAAACATGGTGAAAAACCACAACTAGGCCACAGGAAGAGCAATACTTTTGTCGAGGGTGACTGCTCTATCCTGATGTCAGTCTGATTCAGCACTAGAGCCAACAGCAGCAGCAGGTGTTGACCACAGCTGTAGTGTAGCCCACTTGCAAAGTAACCTGATGAAAGGCAATGGTCTGAAGTCTACAGGATTGCTAGAATGATCTAGTTTATCCTTTGGCCTTAAACTGTCCAAAAAACTTACTGATGATACACCCACCTCCACCACTGAGTCCTTATGATTTGTAGCAAATCCCTGCTGTCCCAACTACACACCAATCAAGTACCGTACGCACTATGAGACTGAATTTCCAAATCAAGTAGCAGACAGAGACAATAGTGCAGGGCAAAAACTGCAAAGATCTCAAGGTTTTCAGACTATTAGTTCCAGTGAGACCTAGCACAAATTCAGGGCTTCTCACATTTTTCCATTAGTTAAAACTATAATTTTGAAAACAGTAATATATTGCACTACAACCCCTATTTTAACATTAAAGAAGGCAAGGAAAACCAATCCAGAGCATGCAGAAAACTGTGGTAATTCATTTTGTGACTCATTTATTATAATGGACAATACAGTAAAGGCTTACCGCAAGTCCACATGTTTCTGTAGGGTTAGGGAAAAAAAAATGCTTAAAAAGAAAGAAAAATAACAAAATCACCCATTGTTGAGCTTTCTGACTACTCTCACCCAAAATACTGATCTCTAAGAGTTACTGCTACGGAGGCCTGAAGAGTACAAAAGCTTTTAACAGTATGTTGTGTTACTGTAGACTATACCTGAAGATCTTTAGAAGAAGGTTAAAAATTTTTCCTTTCAAATTACACTTAGTCCTTGAAGAGTTTTTAGCCCAAGAATGAGGTCTTTGTCCACTGCAAATTCTCAGTACAGCAAGAACAGTTCAAGTTTCACCGTCTCACTGATGAGTCCTGAACTTCATGCTGGAAGGTGTACTTCAGACAGAAGACTTAGCAGATGCTCATTTCAGTCATTAAAGTAAAAATTTCCACCAGGACGCCACATGCAGATTATGCCCCATGGAATTCTCTGCACTTGAGCAGAATTAAGACCATCCTATTTCACACAGCCTGCTGTTACTCCAGTCACACACACTCGTAACAAGCAAATGAACCAGGCCTTTCTATTGCCTGAATGCTCAGTTAAATTAAAGAGGGCTGTAAAAGGACTGTTAAAGGAAGCTGGCAAATAGGGCAATGGCCTACATGAAGAACATCCCTGAAACCTCAACTTAGCCATAAAGGAAGACTCCTTGTTAGAGTGGTATGTCTTTTGTCCAAACAAAGATCAGCTAACACTGATCTCTTCAAGGGGGGATAAAGAAAAGCCCACATAAAATTGGAATTTGTTATGAACACAGAAACTGTGCAAGCTGCATTATTCTTTAATAAAAAAGCTAAAATAATAAACAAAAATTAAGATGACCTAAAGAAACAGAGGGAATATATAGACAGTGATGCAAACTACTATTCTTATCCAAGGATGGACATAAAATGGACTTGCTACCAATCTATTGCCTGGAGAAAGAGAGAAGCAACGTGGTGGGGAAGAAAGACTTGCACCTCAGTCCCACATTTCTATATTTCCTTCTGAAGAAGCTGTTCAACAAATAAAAATAGGACCTCTTGGTTACTGTCTTCTCTTTCCCCAGGTACCTTCCTGTTTGCTAAAAATTTTGACTAATTATTTGGTTCTTATCACCTCATTTTAATCACTCTTTCAAAACACAGGGTTCACATGATGCCTTTCAAAGAGCTTAGCCCAAATTTTTGCTAGCATGAACTACACATAAAAATGTGAATATCTGGAAGAATCCTGAGTACCTTCTGCTCTGCTGGAAATGCCTC